TCTCCCAAGTGCTCCTAACACACACACACAGAGCTATATATGCAGACAATACCGCCATTTATGGCTCTTCATGGAGCGCGGTTCAGGCTACATCATACATACGGAATCACATAGACCAAAGACAAGAATACTTTACGAACTGGAAACTAACCCTGAATCCTAATAAAACTCAAACCATCACTTCCACCACCAAAAAAAACATCATTCTAAAAATCTATCACAATCGCCGGCCAAAACATTACCTGGACTTCTACACTTAAATATTTGAGAGTCATCTTAGACTCTGAAATCACAATTAGCATATCCTGCACTCCACAGAATACATCCTCTCATTTCAAAAAATAGCAATACCAACATTAAATTCAATCTTTACATAACTTGTATTGGACCGATTATCACTTATGGATATCAAATCTGGGCTTCCGCAGCCAAATGGCACATCAATAAAATCCAGAAAATCCAAAACAGATTCCTCAGAATGATATCTAATAAATCCTACGATACTCCAATTAAACAGCTACATTACATCGCCAATATACCAATTATATATGAATTTATCAAAAACTCACTCTCTGCATATCATCCGGACCACCTCAACCCACTCATATGTAACACAAGTAACTACGACATTACTTGCATCTCTTTAAAAATCAAGACCAAGCTACCGAAACACGTCACAACATATATATAACACCAGACATGACATAAGTTCAGCAGGTTTTTTGAAATTTTTATGCTGCAACCTCCACTTACACTTTACATATCCTCTCAAGATCATGATAATTTATAATCTTTCATGTTCAATACAGGTTACAGGGACTCTGCACCCCAGGTACTGTAGCAACAATATGCAAAGAAAAAAAAAAGTCTCGATCTTAGGTTTTTCTGGATAATCATTTCATCGAGCCGCAGTTCTTCTTGGAAATCGTGACAAACAATCAGCATTGTGACTCATGAAACTGTGTTTTTTCAATTAATCGGTCGACGTATCACTCGATCACAAAAGCTACGTCGAGGTTCAACCTTAAAACACCAATCAAACTGAACTATCTTTCCCTCCGTAACTTTTCGTAAAAAAGTGACTGAACGGAAACGAACATCGAATCGGTGAATCCGCGTCGTAACAGTTATAATAACGACCTAAGAAGAAGAACAAAACAATTTTAAAAGAAGAAATTTCTGAGGACAGTCCTGAGTCACTTGACATAATTCGGAATAATTCGCATAAACTAGACTTCTTGTCGCTTCTTGTGAAAGTTTAAAAAATGGTGGAGGATATTATTTTTCCAGAGATTGGAAACTATGTATCATCAACTCTTGTACACTTACTCTAGCAAATCTGCAATGTACCTGTTGATGATTGCTTTAAATTGAAACGATGTCACATGTTAGAAAGATATAATTAACAAAATTTCGTGTAAATACCATTTTGAATGATTATTTTATTATCCAATGGTATGTCATTTTATTCGAAGTGATGGTTCGTAAATAAATTGCTGGTAGATCATATAAAAAAAAAGTTTATCGAGAGCAAAGGGTTAATGGCCCGTAGTAAATCATCTCTCCCCGACACAAATCGAACGATTCGGTATTTGTCTCTACCGCGAAAAGACCAAGTGAAGTCAGACCATTCGATATAACAGAAGAGACAAAAGGAACGGAGAAACGGACATGCAGAGGAAGGTGAAAGCAATTGGATAGGCCAGAGGACAAGTAGAGTCCCAAAGAACAGCCGATGAAGCGGGACGACGCGGTTCATCCCTCGGGGGAAAAAGGAGAAAAATCACAGATGACGATTCAAGATGAAGGACAAAACTTTAGATTTTTGTGGGAGGAAAGTGACACGATAAAAAGAAAGAAAGCTTCCTTTAGCAAATAGACAGGCGTCTCTGCCCAGGGTCCAGGGAGACGTTACCTAGGCTCTTCCAGATACTCGTAGAGCCGTTCCTCGGGTCTCTTGGTGCTTTCATTACCAACCAGGAAAGTAACCAAGCCTCGTTGTAACTCCTTCAGTCTTTGATGTCGATCATCGAGGTTGTGTGCGGAAGGTAATGAACGAAACGAGATATGCGGCAACAAAAGGTAGAAACAAAGATTAAATAAATAACGGCTCGTCCGATTTTTCGCGCGTCGAAGATGATTTCTGTCTTTCTGAGATATATCCCGGGATGCGCCGAATTTTAGTGTCTCGAAATTTTTGTCAATAGCGTTCTATAGGTAAGACTGAAATATCATGTAGCGAAAAGTCCCCACAAATGCTTTCGTAACGGGAGATATAAACATGTGACGAATACGATCTCCTTTCAAAGGTTTTCAAATCTTACATCTTTTGATTTCTGCTTGTGAAGAAATATTTGTCGTTATGTTTCAATACAAAAGTATTTAAATTGATTAGAAGAATCGAAAGAGCGTATGAAGAAATTCGATAAAGTCGATGTGAAATTCGCTGATACCTCTAAATATATATACGAGTACGTACAGGTGAGATGAGTTTTTGCCACACACTATTTTAGTCTTATTTGATGCCTATAAAACACGCTGACAACGCACACTAAAATACAGGACACCCTTATGATGGTTCACGAAAGTATTCGAACAGCTGTGAAGAAATTTTTATGAAATGTTGTAAATGTGTAAATTGTGTATGTTTATGCAATTTTATATTTTCATAAAGATAATTGAAGAAAGGTAACTTGGGTAGAAGATTAATTTATCCATTATGCGTAAAATTAAAGTTAAAGAGTCTAGAAATTTAATACCGAATGAAGAGTATATAACAGAATAAGAATGTTTTCATTTTTAAATGTAAACGTACC